CCCGATACTGATATCCAGACTGGTAAAAGTTTTCTTCATCTGCTTTTGATTTGATTTGATTCCAAGAGCATTGACATTTTGTTAACAGTTTAATCTATTTTTCATGTCAAATTTCTGCAGAAATGAGCCTTGCAAATGCAAAGGCGAACCACGGGTCAAGATGCTACTGATGATGACACCCCAAGTACCTCTGGACGGCAATTTGCAGACTCTCATGTTTCTCAGGTTTTGCTCTTTAACTTTTTTATCTGGCTAAACCATACCGATCTATCTGAAGTAGTATAATTGGGAATATCTCCAGATTGAAACTCCATATCATCCGGAATCAACTACCAAAACAAAAACCATTATCGATAGAGATGCAGAAGACATATATGGCATAATCAGTTAATCACATGTCAAGGACATAAAGTACGAGCAATTAAAGACACCCAATTTTGTAATCCACCCTGCAAAAAATGAATCCTGGAACATTTTCTACAGAGATTGGCCCAACCCTAAAGAATTATGTTTAATTTATGTAATAAGTTTCTTGTGAGTAATATGCTGTTTTGTTGCATTAGATAAAGAACTTATTTAATTTATCAAATTTATGTTTCTTTGTATTTTGTATTAGTGTCTTGCTTTTTTTGTAGCTTGTTAAGTGTGTGAAAGTGGAGTTCCTAGGTTCCTCATTAGTAAGCTTCACCATACATCAATTGGTAAGTTTCAAGAAGTAAAGCATTTCCAAAAAAGAAAAAAAAAGGGGGGAAAACAAAACATGTTAGCTCTTCCATGTCAATTACTAGACACGGTAGTTAATTCAATCAAAGGAGTTCTATTTTTCTTGTTGGACATAGATGTGCTCGATGAAAACACTAAATCCTTAGACCCTGGAAATTTCATCAAGGTACAGAAAATTCAAGTTTTCATCAACAATAGCCACAACATAAGCAATAAACAAAAAAAGAAAATGCATTACTAGCAAGCAAATTGACATCTCACAGAGGGCATAGATTTGAATGGAAAAATGAAAATGCTTGTCACAAGATGAATATACCGATCCTCTTGGAGTAGAAACCTTATTAAAAAGGGAAAAATACTTACATGGTTTGAAACAAAAATTCAAACAGGTCCAGCTTCTGCAAAGAATCCCTTCTGTAGGAATCACAAATGCAGTTATCGGTAAAGCAGTAGAAATCCATGGTTCATAAGATAATCTTATCATTAAGTGAGGAGACTAGCAAATAGAAAACAGTTACCTTGTTGACCATGGTCACAACAGCTTCTAAGATCTTGCCTCTAAATGGTCTAAAGACAACACATTGACACTTCACAGGGAATGTTACAAATCCTGTACCATCGCGAATCAAGCCTTTTGCAATATTCTCTATACCTGTTATAGCTACCACGAATCCATGTTGACCACTGCAGGAAATCAGAATGCAATCCATTTGGTATTTCAAGTAAAATACTCCTTAAAGCTAGATAACATTTGTGCCTTAACAATAATATTACAATTAAATAAGTACATTTTTAATTTTTCTAAATATTATATTATTTTTAGAGTTACATGTTGTTCAAGTCTAACAATACTATTCAAGTGTAGTTTGTGCAATGAAATTATTAAAATGACATTAATAAAATAATATAAGAAGAGTTTTATTAAGTATATTTTAAGAAATTTATATATTAAATTGCACAGCTTATTTTTATAATTAATTTATAAATAAGATTACAAGACACTTAGAACATGTTACTTTGCTCAAATAAGAAAGTTCCTCTGCGTTCTTTACTTTCCTACACTATTTTTTTTTTAAATATTCTTAGGTAAAAAATGTGTCTTGAATTAAGTGCCTATATAGATAATACAGATTTATAGAACACTATTATAAAACTGTAGTATTGTAGGATGACATGCTATGTATATTTTTCTGCTACACTAGTAGATCTCCTATCTATAGAGGTCTGAAACAAGTAACTTAAAGCAACTAAGTTTTTTATGTCTATTTTGATGATTTTTTTTTTTCATTGATATTTCCTTAATAGGTTCACTAATTATCAATTTTATTGATTTTGTTTTGTCAAAAAAATGATTGATTTTGTGATTGAGATACAACAATGACATGATGTAAAAATAAATGAAAATATTTGAGAAATAACAATTTCAAAATGATTCAATCCGCATAAAAAATAAGTATGTCTCGCTTATCTAACTCTTTTTGATACTTAATGAATGTTCCCTTGAAATTAATCATACTTGAAAGATATTGAGATCAGATTTGGGTATGTAGTTTAATTACTTTGCTTTGTTTGTATGTATGGGACTAGTAGTTTGAATTATATGTTTTCATTGAAATATTGGTATGGTATTTATAAAATATATTTTCTAAGAGCTAAATAAGAAAGAAGAGGATGCAATACATTGCCTTTTTTTTTTTTATATATTTTGAGTTTAGCGATACATGTAAAATATGTGTTCTAATACTTTTAATGTAATACTTAATTAGTGACATATTTCCAATAGTTAGAAGAAATTTTTCAAAATGTAAATGTATTGATCTATCATTTTTTTATATTTAAATCTGCTAATGCAAGTTTCTAGTCTCTAAGTATGTATGCTGCATTATAATTACTGTATAATTTAAGGGCATTAATATTTCTTGTATAAAAAAAAAATTGAAATTATATGCTTTGTTGAGTTTTCAAAAAAAAGGTATGAGATCAATTCCATGTAAAATTTTTTTTCTTATATAGATGGTCCATGTATTTTGACAAAAATTATCATAAAATTTTGGTTGGTATATTGTGGATAAGTAATCTAACTTTTTAAACTTGTGTGATCAATTATATATAAAGTAAGCCGTTTGTGGTGATAATATATGAAATGAGCTAATAAGTTCTTATAAAAAAATCTTATGAGAAAATAGTTTTTTTTTTTTTTTATAAACTCAATTATTTGATAAATGTAAAAATCACATATTTGAGATATTTCCACCATGGGAGATTGCATATGGATGGAGAAATTCCAAGAAGAGAGGTATTCTTTTTGTAGTATTATCAGTGGTGAGCTAACGGTGCCTAATTAAAATTTTATATAGCACTCCTATTAGACAATAAGGTATAATTGTGCCCATACAATAAAATACATGTGATATATGCATTCCTATTAGACCATAATGCACAATGGTGCTTAAGTGAGCAAATGTAATATACACTTATATTATACAATTATGGTATAATAGTGCAT